CTTAAGTGAAGTCAAACAAGCAATCCAAAAGACCAGAAACTGGAAAGCACCTGGAGAGGACAAAATTACAGGTGAGATGATCAAGGCCAGCATAGACGTCAGTTCTAAAGCATTAAGAAAGCTATTAAATAGAATTTGGGAAGAAGAAGAAGAAGTACCAGAAGACTGGAAGTCTGGAATTATTGTAAAAATACCAAAAAAGGGGGATAGTTTAGATTGTAACAACTGGAGAGGCATAACCCTGCTTTCTATACCAGGAAAGATTTTCAGCAGAATCATACTAGAAAGAATGAAAACATCCTTAGAAAGAGTAGTAAGAGAAGAACAAGCCAGCTTCAGGAAAGAACGAGGTGCATGGATCATATATTCACTCTTAGAACCATAATTGAACAGAGCATAGAGTGGAACAGCAGCCTTCACCTGAATTTCATAGATTTTGAAAAAGCCTTTGACATTGTCCACAGGGAGACACTCTAGAAAATAATTTCACTTTACGGAATTCCAAAAAAGCTAATAACCATATTCAAAAAGATGTACAGTGGGTATACCTGCTGTGTTTTACATGAGGGCAAGACAACTGACAAGTTTGAAGTAACTACTGGTGTCAGACAAGGATGCATACTATCTCCTTTCCTCTTTCTGTTTGCAATTGATTGGACAATGAAGATGGCTACTCTAAGAGAAAAGAAAGGCATACCATGGACACTCACTAGACAACTAGAGGACCTAGACTTTGCCGACGTCATATGTCTGATTAGTGCAAACCAAGCACAAATGCAAAGAAAGACAGATAGAGTTGTAAAGCAAGCCAGATGAATATTGGCCTTAAAATAAACAAGAAAAAGACAAAGATAATGAAAATCAACCTGAAAATGGAAAAAGAAATAGTCATCGAAGAAAACAAAATCCAACAAACTGACAACTTCATCTATTTGGGAAGCAATCTCAACAGTAACGGAGATATCGAAACAGAAATCCAAAGAAGAATTGGACTTGCAACAAATGCCTTCAAAATGCTAAACAAAATTTGGAAAGCAAAACATATCATGTTAAAGACGAAGCTAAAAAATTATTCAAGTAATGTCAGGTCAGTCCTTTTATATGCAGCAGGTAGTTGGAGAACAAATCGAAAAGTTGAATCAAGATTAAGAGGTTTTCAAGGGAGGTGCCTGAGAAGGATCCTAAACATCAGGTGGCCAGATCGGGTAACAAACATGGAAATTAGGAGAAAAACCCAAATAAATGATATAAACGAGGAGATTCGGAAGAGGAGGTGGAACTGGTTGGGTCATGTGCTTAGACTGAAAAATGATCGTCATCCAAGACAGGCAGAAAGATAGAAACCAATGGGGGAAAAAGAGGAAGGCCGAAGGGGACATGGAGACGAACGGTGAAAGAAGAAAGAAAACAGATGTCAAAAACAATCAATGAAATATCATAGATGGCCCAGGATAGAGGACAATGGAAATCATTTGTTACTGCCTTATGTGCTTATGAGCATGAAGAGGATTAAGTAAGTAAGTAAGTAAGTAGTTGTGCTATAATTAATACAATACATTAGGCCCCATTAAAAAATGTATTAGTTTATCACCCTATCAAAGAATAAAAACTGATAAGGGAGGGGTTTTTTTTCACCTAAGCCCACCCCTTTTTTTGCTGGTAAATTAATAGTTAGGAAAAAATATATAAAAATTCATAACATTGGAATCAAATTTATATATAAAAAAATATGTTTTTGTTGTACCAGTAAACATAATTTGCAAGAAATCCTGAGCTTTTCAAGTAAGAAAAGTAGAAAAAATGATTGTTTGAGAAATCTATGTTGATTTAAAAAAAAAATCTGAATTTTCCCAAAGTGATGAGGGAGTGGGTGATAAACTAATATTTTTTTTATGGGGCCTTACATATTTTATGACACCATAAAACCTCTATCATGCCTAGGCCTACACCAGGCCCACGTACGCAGCACGCTAGACAACACCTGGAAGGCTTGAATTGTGAAGTAGGCCTAGCCTAGACATCGACCTGCAACAGTTGCGGTGTCGCGTCCTCCTACCTAGCATGTTTTCAATGTTATCGGAGTACCGACTCTTCAGTGGTGGGGTACATAATGGTTTGATTAGTAGGAGTTGCATCCCAAACATTATATATATAGTAAATGTTTACATTACTGGGTAGTTTAATAATTATTCTAGATAGATTTTAAATTTGCGTTTGTACCTTGTGTAGAAAATGTGAAATTTAATGAGTTTTGGCCTTCCATTTTGTAAAAAAATCGTATTGAAGCCTAAAATATCGATATTTTTTGAAACCAAAAAATTATTGAACCGAAATCGTAGTTTTAATCATCGAAACTCCGGCTGTGCAAATCACTTGTGTCCTTGGGCAAGGCACTTTATCTACGGTTGCCTCTCTCCACCCAGGAGTACAAGTGGGTACCTGGTAGGCTCCAGGAAGATTTGTACAC